CCTATCACTTCAAAAACCCGGTTCAAGTACCTTGTTGCTTTTGTGGATGATTATTCTCGCGTTACTGCAAAAGAATATACCTCTGAGACATTTCGATCATACATGCTTCATCAAGGCATTCTTCATGAATCTTCTTGTGTTGATACTCCCACTCAAAATGGAGCTGTTGAACGAAAAAATCGTCACCTTTTTGAAATAGCTCGAGCACTATTATTTCAAATGGCTGCTCCAAAACCATTTTGGGTTGTTGTAGTCTCTATTGCCTATTTCCGCATCAACCGAATGCCATCTACAGTTGTTGGTGGTGAGGTTCCATTTTCAGTTATGTTTCCAAATATATATTTGTTCCCTGTTGAACCTAAGGTGTTTGGTTGTAGTTGTTTTGTTCGGGATTCTCGACCTCACATCGGCAAACTAGACCCTAATTCCCTCAGGTGTGTTTTACTTGGATACACCCGCCTTAAAAAAGGTTATAGGTGCTTTTCTCCTATACTCAATCATTACATTGTTTCACGTGATGTCACTTTTATGGAGAAAGTACCGTTCTTTCTGATGATTACCTCCCTTGATCAAAGAGATGATGATGATTTGACGGTATATACGATACATGTTTCTGGCCCGAATGCAGAGCCTCCTATACCACCCAACTTTCAACTTTGAGCAATTATCAGAGCCCGGAAGACCACAAGTGATTCACATATATAGTAGACAACGACGACCTACATCATGGCCGATTTGGTACCTCCTACATCTGCAGGGTCGACTGATGATACCTCTAGTACAACAAATGATGAGGTTCCAACTTCCTATATAAAACTTTCAGATCTTGATCTTCCCATAGCCCTTCAGAAAGGTTAACGTTGATTTACTTACCCTATTTCTTCATATGTGTCTTATGATAAGCTCTCTACATCTTCTCGTTCATTGGTTTCAACATTAGTCTCTATATCGATCCCGAAAACGGTTGGTGAAGCTTTAGCCCACCCTGGATGGCGTGTTGCTATGCTTGACGAAATGAATGCCCTTGAGGACAATAACACGTGGAGTTTGGTCAAGTTACCTGTTGATAAAAAAGGTGATTGGTTGCATATGGGTGTTTACTGTAAAGGTTAATCCAGATGGATCGGTGGTTCGCTTAAAGGGGCGATTAGTTGCCAAACGTTATGCTCAAACTTATGGAGTTGATTACTCTGAGACATTTTCTTCTGTAACTAAATTATCCTCTGTACACCTATTCGTTTCTCTCGCCGCTACTTATGATTACGTACTTCATCAACTTGATGTCAAAAATGCCTTTCTTCATGGTGATTTACACGAGGTTGGTAAAGTTTGCAGATTAAGAAAGTCTTTGTATGGATTAAAACAATCTTCTCGCGCTTGGTTTAGGTGGTTTAGTACTGTGGTGACTACGTTTGGATTACGAAGAAGCGCATATGATCATTCGGTTTTCTTTGCTTCATCCACCTATGGTTGTATTTTATTGGTTATATATGTGGATGATATAGTGATTACCAAGAGCGATGAGACTGTCAGTAAGAATTTGAAAGAGTTTCTTGGATCTGAATTTCAAACAAAGGACCTAGGCCCTTTGAAGTATTTTTTTGGGGATTGAGGTCTCCCGCTCTCGGAAAGGAATTTGTTTGTCTCAACGAAAATATTGTTTAGACGTGCTGAATGACTGGAGATTGACTGATGCAAGACTGTATGATTCTCTTATGACACCGAATGTCAAATTGAAAGCAGACGATGAAGACCCAATTGAGAATCCAGAAAAATATAGAAGAATTGTTGGGAAGTTAAGATATCTTATGATTACTCGGCCGGACATCGCTTTTTCGGTAAGTGTTGTGAGTCAATTTATGTCATCATCAAGAGTTGCACATTGGGACGTTGTCATTCACATCTTAAAGTATCTAAATGGTACTCCTGGTCGTGTTATTTTGTATCAGAATCATGGTCATCATGTTGTAGAAGGGTTTACAGATGCCGACTACAATGGTGACCCCACAAGTAGGCGGTCGACTACTGGGTATTGTGTTTTTGTTCGAGGAAATCTTCTCTTGGAAGAGTAAGAAGCTAAATGTAGTTTCTCGTTCGAGTGCGGAGTCCGAGTATAGACTATTGGCGATTCTTGTTCTATTTTTTCAAGTATAATGTTATACTTTAAAATTTTTATTCCTACTAAGACATTGCACTTTGAAAACCTAAACTTGTTTGATTATGGTTATCAATTATAGCTTTATAACTAGTTATAGCATTATACTTTCACTGATAGTATTTTACTATCATAATCTCTAAACTATTAAAACTGTTGAATTTTATCGTTTTTTTATTTCTTATTAAGACATTGTATTTTGATAATTTAACCATCTATAACATTATGCTTTCAATTATATCATTATACTTTCAAAATTTAAAGGCATTCGGGTTACCACATAATCAGTTATAACATTAATATTTCAATATTTTTCATTATTAAACATTGTAATTTTAATTTATTTTCTTGTTAAGCACTGGAGTTTGATAACCTAACCATTAATATATTCATATACTTTAAGATTTTGTCATATCAAGACAATGTACTTTGAAATTTTAGACTTGTTTGATGTTCTTTACTAATGATAACAATATATTTTTAGATTTTTTTCCTATTAGGACATTGTACTTTGAGAATCTAACAATAGGGCATTATACTTTCAAATATTACATTATTCTACTAAAATCTAACGTGTGATAGACTACTTTTTTGAGTTTTTTCTTATGGCATTATCTTTTAAAAATCTGAATTTCTTTGATTGATTACCCACTTAACATTATACTTTCATCTTTTTCCTATTTGGATATTGTACTTTCAATTTTCTCCTAAAAAATTGGACTTTTTTTTTTCTATTTGGACATTGTACTTTAAAAAATCTACCTCTTATGACATTGTGCTTTTAAGATCCCCCCTGTTAATACATTATACATTGAAACCACTTATAGCTTTATACTTTTAAAATTTAATCTAGTAAGACATTGTAATTTATGTCCCATTAAGACCATGTTCTTCGAAAATCTAACCATTTAAAAGACTGTACTTTGAAAATATAACCATTTATAACACTATACTTACAAAAGTTAGCCTATTAAGACTACTTCTTTCTATTAACATAATATACTTGGAAAATCTAATCTATTAAAATGTATTATACATTTATACCCATAATTATATTTTTCCTATGAAGTTATTATAATTTATTAAGACATTGTAGTTTGAAAATCTAACCAAATTTAGCATTATACTCATGAAATTCAACCTATGAAGACATTGTATTTTTAATTTTCTCATATATGTGTTTACCTTTTTATGAATTGTTATTATTTGATATATGATATTTTAAAATAATGGGATTAACCGATATATGTTGATCTTATGTGAGTTTATGATTTTGTGAATTTTGTATGCCAAGTAAATCTTGTGAAAAAACACAGGTGCTCATACTTTGTCTACACGTGTTTAGAGTTATTTTTAAATTTCATTTTACTAGCACTTATATCATGAATTTGTCATTCAATATGGCTACTCATATTTGATAACTTGTGATCATACATGTTTTTATCCCTCCAATATGTTTGAGCTTCGTTTCGGATAATCATTGTGCCTCCTTTAAAAAACCCTTTAAAACCTTTATTGTGTTTAGATCCACATTTGAAAATGTTTCCTTTGAGGAATTGTCTCTAGTGAAACCAGTTTCTCCAGCCTTTGTTATTCGACAAAAAGGGAAGAACGGTTGATTGTTTTCGTTATTTCATTTAGATTTATTTATCTGGTTGTGGTTCATTTTATAATATATTCATTTTGACCACAAAAAATGTTATTAGTTTTGTCATCTAAAAAAAGAAAATTGTTGGTCCATGTGATTTTTACAATCTAGCAATCTAATCTAATTATTACGATGATCAAACAATCAACATGAAGGAATTATATTGTTTACTAACTAACCATTTTCACAAGCAGGAGGACTCTAGTACATTTTTCCACTTTTTTATTTATATTTAAGCTAATCTTTTTGTTAGTAAGCCAAGCCTTTTGGTTACATATTGACAAAACCCTAAATGGAGAGAAATACCTATTTACTTTTCTAGTACCCTATGCGACATCCTTCCATAAGTCGATATATGGACACTTTTGTCTTTTGACATCTTTGGAGGGGTGGGTGGATAGAGATTGTATTGTAATTAAGTTTATTAGGGGAGCAAGGTCCGCATACTTCTTGAGTAGGTGGAAAATTACTTAAGTTGGAGAAATGAAACCTTGGCTTGGGGACAATTTTGGTTCAACCTAGACCACCAAATTCAATTTTTTAATGTAAAATAGTTTTCTACTTTTGTAAAACTATAGTTGTATATGATATTAGTTTTGGGGTGTTGCACTAAGAACGTTTGTTATGAAAAATGTGTGTGAATCATAATTTAGGAATTTTTGAATCACTAGCATCGACATTAAAAAACAACAATGATGGTGAATTAGATTTGATTAGTGTTTGGATCACCATTTTTAGGTGTGGATTTCTTTTAACACGAATGAAATCACATGTTATAATACGTGAATCTTGAATTAAATTGTTAAGGGTGAGGATAGACATTTTTTTACACGAATGGAACACCATTCCATGGTTTGGATTCCATTTTCTTATGGGTTGCATTTAATAGATCACGTTTTGGTAATTGTGTTGTGAAATTCCATTTTCAATCACTACTTATCAGTTTACGACAATGAATAAACTAGGAATCAATCAAGTATTATTATATAATTATGACCTGGTCTTGAATTCTATATTCCAACGACTTTGTCTTGCATTCCATATCATACATAGGAAACAAACAAACAGCCCTCTAATTCAAATAACCAGAATCTAAAACCAGGAATATAAATCCTCCATACATATATATCATATATCCTTAACAAAATCAAAAGGGGTTTCAAGTTTCAACAAACACACAGTGAAAGTGAAACGGAAATGGCAGAAGAGCAGGTATCAACTGTGAGGAGGGTTAGAAGGCAAGGATCATCTGGTTACTATTGGGATGATGAAATGTTGTCAAGTGAACCACAACAAAAGCATTCATTGTTATCGGATGATTTTGATTTTGATTTTGATTTTGATCAGGGAGAATCACGATCACAAATGGATGGACAAGATTCGTCCACAACAACCATCACCATTCATCGGGACCCACCTTCTCCAAGGGACCCTACATGTGGGTTATGTATGTGGTTTTTTCAAGTGGTCAAGAATTGTCAAGGCTCAAGACAAACCTAGATGTCCTCAGTTTTCAACTCTAAACCCATGTTTTTTTTTTCAATGTTGTCTGGATAAATAATGTCTGAAAAATATTTGAGAAAATGATAACATGTTTTTGCAAATAAAGGAAAAATAAACAAGATCAAATGTGTAAAAAGTCGTGACATTATGGGAAAACCTCATTTTCCCAACTTTTTTTATTATGTCGTTATTTAGGTAGTGTTTGTTTTTTGTCTGCAGATCTGCGTGGCCTCTTCTGTCTGCGCCGCGCAGACCACGCGCAGACATTAGCCTTCGCAGACTGTTTGTTTTTTTGAAGACTGCAGACCTAAAAATGTTTTTGCGCACCCTCTTCTTGGCGCAGATGTGGACCAGAGTCTTCTAACATCTTCAGACATCTTCTAGCCTAAAAAAACATATATATCTTTATTTTTTTTAAGTTTTTTTTTTAATTTAATTTTTTTCCAACTTTATTAATGATAAACAAATTGAAAAAAAAATTACAAAACTTAAAAAAAACGTTAAACGATACAACATGAAATTTTTGACAAATTTATAAATAAAGATTTATTAGAATAATAGTCGTTGAAGTTGTTTATATAAATATGAAAAAAAATCATAATATATTCTTATATTTTTTTTTGCCAAATTTTGTAAAACATTATTTAATACAGTATCGTTAATTTCTAAAAAAAATATTTATGGTATGTTTTTAATAGATTTAATTGAAAAAATCGAAGTTTATTTTCATCAATTTATGTATCAAATTCTTTGATCACTAATTATAATGTTTAGTTATAACTTTACAACCAAAGTTGTTGGTTTTTATCAAATATATACGTTAATTCATACCATTTTTATTTTTATTTTTCATACAATAATACATAAAAGTTGATCTAGATTCGTTAATTATTTATAACAAAGTCATAAAAATATTAAAAAATCATTTTCAAGTTTAAAAAAACCAGTTTATTTAGATTTCAGTTTATTTTAGTAGCCCGCAGATATTGAAAAAACAAACAGTCTTCTTTTTTCATACTGCAGACGTTTGGTCCACCTTTTCTACTGCAGAGGTCTACAGATGTGGTCCGCAGACTGCAGACATTTTGCCTCAGAAAAAACAAACAACACCTTATTCAGCATTAGAGCATCTACTACAACAGTCGACCTATACTATAACTTATTATTTTTGGCACATCAGTTTTCCATTAATTTTAACCAAGTATCCAAAATTTCTCCAATCGATGAAGTCTTTCAAAAGCTTTCCCCAAACATTACCAAATTATCAAAAATGGGCTGAATGGGTAAAGAAGAAAGGGATATTTTTGTACATGATGATGGCTGAATGGGTAAAGCTCACATTTCTCATTTAACCCATTAAGACTTGCTGAATGTATTAAGTCAAAAGATAACAATCCTTGAGGTGTCTAATTTAGTCCATCAAGCACTAACAAAAAGAATAATTCATATATAGGTTACCAAATTATGGGTTTGTTTCTTTTTTTTTTTCTTTTCCATCATGTGTAGTAGACTTTGTATAAAATGCTCAACTGATAAAGAGTAAATGACTATTTTACCCTCATGTCTAAAAGATGATGCCGGACAAATGTTTATCTGACAAATAATTCAAGTTGCATTACATATTAATGGAGATCCAAGTATTTTCATTTTACAAGAGACATTTTTAAGCTTCCATTTTCACAGTAAAAGTAAATGCTTAATTGACATTGTCACAGCATATTACACTCTAATTTGTGTCCCTCTCAATAATAAGTATTTTCACAGTAAAAATCAAAGTGAAAATGTAAGATGAAGGACTCATAGGTACTTTCTTGCAAGGGCTCTTACCTTGGTATCAAAATGTGAAGATGTTACACGGGATCCTGGTAGGTAGAGAGGATTTAAAAGTATCTGCAAAAAATGTCATGTAACCATTTTATATTATATAACATATTACCTAAATCATCCATTTAACATAAAGTAATTACATCCCTTATAGTATTTGAGAAAAAAGATAGACTTCATAAATGCCACCTTTATATAAAGCTCATGGACTTCCTGAAAAAAGCTCTTAATCCCATCATCATTACGTGAGTCATGAAGCAGCATCAATCGTGTATGTGTAACTTGAATTAAGGAATATACATATTGTTCTTTCATGTAATATATAATTAAGGATAAATTAACCAATTAATTACCAAAATAAAAAGGATATGACCAGCTGTAACGTATACTGACACCACCAAATCATTGAATCTATCAATAGATTTCAAAAACCTAAAACCAGAAAAGTTGGGAACTTTATGAGAGAGAGAGAGAGAGAGAGAGAGAGAGAGAGAGTCTTACATGGCACTTGTAGTCCATGCAAGATCCTGGACAACATCCAAAGCTGCATGAAGGATGAACTGGTGCTGATGTGCAGCCTCTTCTTTCTATAATGTAATTAGAAGAGCATATGTCAGAGTTAAAGCTTTACAATTCAATTCAAAATGTTTAAGTTAATTAGAAATAAGCCATTTTTGTATGTGTAATCTAACATGTTTGGTGAAATCTTGAATTGATTAGTCACAAGAGATCATACTTTAGGAGCAGATCCAACTTCAGCTTCATAGATAGGAATGTCATTTTTGCTAATGATCATAAAGCATGCTGTACTAGCCATTTTGATCCAGTATACAGTTGCTGATTAACTGGATTTCTTTATTGATCTGCATCAAGAAATGGAAGTGTTACCTATGAAGCAAAGCAATCAAATTCCCATAACTTATTACTTCATAGAAACCCAAGATTTGCAAATAATCAATTTCAAAACATCAAATTGCAAACTTAAAATCAGACTTCCAACAGAGACTTGGGCCAGTATGTTGGTATTCTACTTTCCACTTTCCAATTCCTATCATGATTTAAGCTTTTAACCCCGTTTACTTAAGAAACAACTACTTAAATGTGCTCTATAAACCTCTAACCACTTGAAATTCTATTCTTTTGCTGGAATTCAGACATAGTTACATCTTAATTTCATAAAGTCTTGAGAATTTGATACCTGGAAATCAACATAAATACATCATCCAACCAACCAGGAATCGAAATTAGCAACCCTAGCCTTTTTCATGATAATCAAGCGCAATCTTTATGCATTACCAGAAAGATCAAAAGATAGATACAAGAATACGACAATGTGACACACCAATTGGATCATCTTATCAACATAGACACGTACAACTACACAACTGTGCCCTAGTAAGATCGGAGAGAAGCAATGTCCGGCAGGTAATTAAGGTATTCAATTCTAGAGCGTGTATGTATGTGTGCCAATTGGAGTTAAATGAAATCGGCAGGGAAACTTACACTGTAGTCTGATCGGAGATCTTCACTGAAGAGAGATAGAGGTGTCGGGAGGGGAGGGTATAAAGATCTGTCTTATGCCCTGCTAATACGAAGAAGAACATGGATAAAGTTTCACTTTGGCCCTTGTAATTTGAACCAACGACGTTATGGTCCTCCTGTGTTGTTAATTAGTAAACGGAATTGTCTAACTCAACAATTTAAATTAGACTATTTGGTTTAGATATTCAAATTTTAGATTGTTTTTCAGTATTATTGTTTTGGATTGGTTTTGGGGCAGTTTATTGGTTAATCCAAACATTATTTTTTTTATCAGAAAAATCTCAATTATTTTATATTTTGTCTAAATTAACGAAACAATCTTATTTTTTTTTTTCAACATAAAATGACAGATTATAATATTGATATTAAACTGTAAACTGATTCAAAGTATTATGATTTTATCAGAGATTTTCCTTTATTAATTTACTAAATTATTTTTCAAATAAATTATAAACGTTTCACTAATAAAAAACCGAATTATCAAACAACGTTATGGTCATCTTCAATTAGGGTTGTTAATTAGTTTGATAAAACCGAATTATCTAATTGGACAATTTGGATTAAGCTATTTGGTTTGGATATTCAAATTTTTAGATTGTTTTTCAATAAAATTGTATTATTTGTTTTGGAATGGTTTTAGTTTTTAAAATAAGAACCGAATAATCTAAAAAAAATCGAATTATTATTATTTATTTATTTACTAAATTATTTTTCAAATAGATTAAAACGTTTCACCTAATAAAAAACTGCATTTTTTCTTAAATGTTTATTATATGTTAAATATTAAACTATAATATATTTTTTTAGTAGTTGTTTATAAATTCTAATACACAACTAGATAATATGTTTTTGTTTCTTTTATAAAGTTTTCAAATTATATATTTTTTCTTAATGTTCCAACTCCTCAAAACCGAATTATAAAAATCAATCAAATTGAATAGTAATTTGGTTGGATTCGATAAAATTCATATTTATTTTAAACTATTTTGATTCATGTTTTAACAATCAAAATCAATTAAGATTCACTTGATTGGATCAGATCGAATCAATTCATCCAAACAAACACCCTTGTCTCCAAGTTAATATAGACCAAAACCATTTGGACATCCATTTTTGATGTCGAACCTATGATACGACTAATTGTGTGGGGGTTTGAAAGATTTGAATTTCTGATCTTTTGTATGAAATTCCACACATCAACAACTTAGTTCTCATCGTGAGGATAATAATATCAAATAATGTCCGGTGAGTATGGAGGCTAAGTTGCTTATGTCAGTATTCATAAGCAGGGCAATCCGCATAAGCAATGCTGCTTATGGCAATAAGCAGCCAACATTGCTTAAACGATCAGTAAGTGCTCGAGCATCAGGGCATGTTTTCTTGAAGAGCAAGTTTTGACTCGCATGTTTAGTGGGGGTCAATTTTGTCAGCATTGACTTCAGCCCATGATGTTTTTTGGCCCATTATTATTAAGTCAATCTATCTATAAATAGTGTAATTTATTGTAACCCTAATGTATCGTACGAAAAAAAAAAACTTTTACAACAGGAAATAATAAGTCCGTCTCTCGTGTTCGTCGTGGACATCAGGACATAGCCAATCATTTTGATCGTGTGGACCACATAAATTGATTGTCTTGTATTTTGATTTTATATTTATTATTCTGATTGAAATTGTTTATCATTTATTGAAGTGTTGTTTTAACCCTAACAATCTCATCTCGTATTCGGTATTTCTAGTATCTTTCATAGTAAAATAATGAAATTTTAAAACCATTTAGTCGCCTACCCACTTTAAAAAACAAATTACTCTTCTTGTGGCCCGTTTTAAGCCTTAAGTCTTTTGTTTATTTAAACAAATAAAATACTTGAATTCACCAAGCATTATCAGTCACCCAATCTTAGGTTTTCCGTGATTATTGATTTTAACTAGGTTATAACCCGTGTACTACACGGGTGAATATGTAAAACAACTTTAATTAGTTATTGGACGTTATAATTAATACTACATTTGCAAAATAACAATATACTTTTATTAACTTGCAAATTTAAACATCCTACTTTCATGTTTTGTTATTAAATCACTGTAATAAATTTCAATAACACATGAAAAATACATACTTGCATCAATACTTCCGTTCATCTGTCTCTTAAAGCATGGTAATATACTTAATTTATTCAAAAAATAAAAATTTCCATAAATACTTTCTTGCATTTAAAAATAGAACCTTGCATCAATACTTTCTTGCATTTTATTATTTCTTAGGCATAAAAATATCATTTTAAAGTAGAATCCCTAAAATGAACTCTTACCCAATAAAAATTGCATGTTCATGACATTTTTCATATATAATGCATAAAGCTCAATTATAATCCCATTTAGGGAGAGAGTTAAATTATATTATATATATAAAAAAAACATTAGCATTAAAACGTAAATTATGACTATTAAAAATTGTGGTTCCATAATTTTAAATATACAGCCACTCATGTGAAAGCTCCAATGTTTAGGAATGGGAAACACTTTTATGAAATAAATTCCATATATATATATATATATATATATATATATATATATATATATATATATATATATATAAACAATTAATGTTGCCACTCGAAAAAAGAAAACAGCACTGATGAAAAAACTTTAGATACACACCAACACAATTTAAAAAAAAAACACTTTCACCACTAAAATATTTATTTTATCCATCATACCCTCACACATTCCTTCATTTTAACTTCATCACATAATCTTCATCTTATAAATCACACCATATTCATAAATCATAACTATTAAAAAATCCAATTCCTAATCTAAAAAAAAACAAAAATCAATCAGTAAAACAAATATGTTGATGAAACAAACAAAATAGCTTTTAAAAAAGAATATAAAAGGTAAGGAAGAAAACTTGGAGTCACATGCTATGATTTTTACCAAATACCTTCAGTGAATCATGCTTCCTTTGCATTGGATGTCAAACTACCATTTGTAAGGGCATGGTTTCCAGAATTCATATTTATTAGCTACACCAACTGCATCTTCAACTCTATTGAATTAGATTGAATAAGGACAATGATAATGTTATTTATCATATATAAAAAAAGTTAGTTTTTGGAAGTCGTCTAATTTCCGTCTAGGAAAGTCTTTACACACAACATGGTCGGTTGAAATTCTCTCATATATCCTTTTTGTTTGATAAGTTGCTAAAGACGAAATGCCTCCTTGCTATTCTTTCACTTGTTTGACTCCACCAGTCGCACCCATTATAGCCACTATTGTTGTCTTTGCATTCATCCTCTAGTTACCTACAACCACTCTTGACAACGCCATACAACCATCATTGTCACATCCCACCCTTGACTTTACAACCCTACCCATTGTCCCTCATAACAAAATAAACTCATCTAATATCTTCATATCCAACAATAACCGACACTCTGAAACCTGTTTTTATAAACAATCAATTTAGAATTAAATTAGTTTATACTTTATTTTAGAAAATTAAATAAGGGCAATTTTTCAATTTACTATATATAAAAATCATTTGAAAAAAAATACAAACCAAACCAAGATACCAGATTGCAAATCTTGAATACCCCTGCTACTAAGAAAAAAATAAAGGTGATAAAATATCAAACACGTGGAGGGCATATCTAAAGTCTTGCCTTATATTCTGTATAGTAACACAAAAAAACTGATGAGTTCAGATTGCTCGAAACATAAAGGATTGCTTGATGGCAAGAAACAATATATCTGATGTGAAAAACAATACATATCAATGGAAGACTTACTTTTTAACAGGGGCTTTCCATTGAAGATATTACCAGGGGCGGAACACAAACAATACAACTAGGGGGGCCGAATTATGGTTTTATGTAAGATGACCTAGCTTAATAAAATTAACTAAAAATTATGTTTTGTTGTTCAAAAAAACTAAATTTTAAAATTCATCAATAATGGAGTGTTGTTTTAATGTTTATAAAAATATTAACTAGCATTAACAAATCAAAAAATAAAATAACATTTTAAAATTTTAGTCAATTTTGAGAAAAAAAAAGATAAAAGCTCAAATAAATAAATCAAATAAATCCAAGTGCGGAACACAAACAATACAACTAGGGGGGCCGAATTGTGGTTTTATGTAAGATGACCTAGCTTAACAAAATTAACTAAAAATTATGTTTTGTTGTTCAAAAAAACTAAATTTTAAAATTAATCAATAATGGATTGTTGTTTTAATGTTTATAAAAATATTAACTAGCATTAACAAATCAAAAAATAAAATAACATTTTAAAATTTTATTCATTTTTGAGAAAAAAAAAGATAAAAGCTAAAATAAATAAATCAAATAACATTTAACAATCAATATATAGATTTTTAAATTTTAATAATAATAAGTTATATTGATTTTTTTTTTGTATTTCTTATTTTGAAGCCCTTAAAAATACAGTTTTAAACTTATTCTAAGTAACTAAAAATTAGGTTGTATTTGATAAATGCTAAGTAATTATTAAAAAACAATAAATATATAAAATAAATAGAATTAGATCGTATGTTGGCTTTAGGCTTCTAGCCTAAATGGAAAGTAAAATTTTTTGTTGACTTTTGTTCTCTTTCTAGGTCCTTAACTACAATATATCAACTAAACCAATTTAAAAATGAAATATTATCCTCTTCTTCCTCACAGTAGTAAAAAAAAAGTAAAAAGAAAAAAATTCCTTCTTTATTCTCTCGGCCGCAAACAGAATTCTTGATGTTTAATATTAGATTTATACTAATAGTAGACAAAAAAACGGGGAGGCCATGGCCCCCCTAAGCCTCCGTTACGTTCCGCCCATGGATATTACTATTGATGGAAAGGAGAGGACCGATGTATGGTTGAAGATAATACAATTGTGTTTTACTCCATAAACAGAGTTGTCTTAGAAATACATACCAACTATCAACTGTGTGAACTTTTGCTGGTATAAAAAGATCAATCTGGTAGCAAATAAATACATATGAGCCACCAAAGGAATAACCATAACACAAGTTTTTGCATCTTTGTTCAAATAAATATCTGCATAACGATAATAAAAGATGAAGATTCGGGTTATGGGTTACCGGTTCATTCTCAAAACACAATGGCTACTATCAAATGACGTTTTCTCATATGAACATCAAAAACTCTTTTTTTCTTGATCATCGACATCTGTCATGACAAACACACAATTCTCTATAAACCTTATATAACTAAAAAAAATTGAAAAAAGAACAAACAAAATTAGAACATTAACATGAATCAACCGGGTGAGAGAAAAATGAAAGAATTTGAGTCATTAAAAACTAAAATCTTCATGGGGTTTTGAAAAAAATGGTCCAAAATTGAGGTTAACTGTAACTTTTAGGGTCAAGAGGGAGAAACTGAAGGTTATTACCTGAAATCCAAGGAAGGGGATCGCTTGGTAATATTAGGTTCATTCTTTTTCACCGCAACATCAAATAAACGATCAACGAAGGAAGATGAGTGCAAGCGGCTATATAAGGTGCGTTGAAGTAAAAATCACAGTTGATCATCTGCACGGTAGAGATGACCGGTAAATCATTGAACCACAAGGTAGAATTGAAGTTTTCTATTTGATAAAGGATTTAAGTATTTTAAATTTGAAGCGATTTCCAAAACAAAGAAGTCGATATTGAAAGAAACAGACGCGTGATCTAGGGAATAAACCGATGAGTAGATATGGTTTGGGGGTGAAACATATTGTTAACAGATTGTATTAATGGTTTTATTTTTGTTAGTTTTTTTATTAATTATTCAGTGATAATATCCAATCCTTAATTTGATTCCTAATTTTTAGGAACGAAATAAAGTAAATATGAAGGATATAGGCGGGAAAAACAGTCAAATGATTTTTGTTGTAATGACACGTGGCATAGTTGGGGTTTAATAGAATGTCATGTGGCGTTTAAAAGAGGTATTTATTAAGTATGAAGATTTGTTATCGAGTCAAAAGATGTTTAGTTGTAAAAGCATATAAAAATAAGAAAAATACTAGACAAAAAGGGGTAAAATATAAATAAATAAACAAGGAAAGGGAAAATAAAAAAGAAGAGTACCAAAAAATATATGGTCCTAAATATCATTTATTGACCGAATACATCTATTTAATCAAACCATTCATAGTTAACGAATATTTGTCTTCCCTTCTTTTTATCTTTCATTTCTTATGTTTTTCATTCGTTTTAATCTAGAATATTTCACTCATGTTTACCAAAACATTCCCCTCGTTATCCATCGACAACATTACAACACGAAAAAGAACCTTTGATTGGTGTAATTGCATGTTACTTCGTAATAGAGATAGGAAGTTATAGCAAGCCTATGGTAGGACAACCTCTAGTGACCAACTCTTGAGTTTATACACTAACCTTGTTTTAAACGTACAAGAATAAGTATACCAACGAGCTCATCCAGTTGTATTGCAAATTTTAAATGTTATAACTTTCTCCAGTACCATGGTTATTCTATTCTTTTGTGATTCTTTTTTATTATACCAAACATACTCCTACCATGTGTGTTAACACTGTTGTGAAATACGAAGGATCCGAATAGACTTAAATAATATTAGCTCAATGCGGAATGGGATCAAAAATTATCAAAGCGTAATAATCACAACGAAATACGAATAAAATAAATAGAATAGAGACACAGGAATTTACGTGGAAACCCAAATCGGGAAAAAACCACGGGCGGAGGAAGCCGAGAAACAATTCACTATAATTTGCAGTGTTTACAGGGATTATGAAAGAGATTACAAATAGAATGGGAGAGCTAATATACACGGTGGTGTATCAATATATATATATATATATATATATATATATATATATATATATATATATATAATGCTTTTATATATATATTTGATTGTGGTTGGGTTTTTTCGTAATGAAATGGCTTAGGCTATTTATAGCCAAAGAAAAGAACATATGAAAGGATAAAAAATGCCGTCGTCCAAAAAAGTTGCGCCTTCAAATTTGAATACTATTCATGACCAAACACTCCGCCTACAAACTTTTGAATAACAAATCTCCAAATTCACATGTGCCGTCCAAATTTTCAAACATTTCACATATATATTACTATTCATAGTCAAACTATGAATAATAAATGATAAGTTACGGAAATAACCCCTGAACTATTTGCCACTTGCTAATTTTGGAGGCAACATTTTCCACAAACACCTTAAAGAGAAAAATATCGAAGGAAAACACTCAATTTTATACAAATTTAACTTTATCATTTCATACAGTTTCCTACTATGAATTTTTTTGGTTTAAATACTTTAAATTGTGGGACAAAGGGGGGTGTTTTAAAACCTAATTTGGTCGATTTCCAGTTAGCATCAAAATAATCATTTGATTTCGTTTGTAAGTTCATTTATTGTTGTTTATTGCATTAGATCTTGGAAGTTAAGCGACTAAATCACTGATTTTGACATTTTGTTTGTAATCATATGACAAGTTTTGGATTTGACATGTAAAGTTGTTGATTGTGTTTCTCTTTTTCTTTTCTTTTTTCTTTATGATTTTTGTTTATATAATTCCTTGCTGTCTCAATTTGAATTTGATTATTTCAATAGGATTTAGATAATATATGGTTATGATGGTTGTTTGGTCACGTGATCAACAGTTAGATCAATTTAAGTAACAAACAATGTCGTTGATTTTGTAATACATAACGTTTGGCATTATGAAATTCATAGTTTTTTTTTTTGAACGGTTGGTTAGTGGTTAGAAGTTAGTATCCTAAGTTAGTATAAATTACCAACACTCGGATTAGAACACGGGATCTCCAATCTAAAAGACAAAGTTTCTACCAACTTGTGAAATTCATAGGTTGTAAGTTGTACGAGTGTTAATGCAATTCTCACAAAGTTACTGAGAACTTGTTTAGTAATTGTGTAGTAAAGTAGTTCCGTTTGAAGAACTATTTTAATTGGATAATTAAGTAACTTGGTTAAAGAACTTGTTTTAATTAAGTGTAAACAAATATGATCACTAGATCTTGTTCCGACCAACCTACAAAGAATTCAAGAGACCATTTCACAATCACTACTTATGATCATGTTTTTCCAACAATTATACTGAATGTCAACTAGGTTATGCTTATCTTATTGTCTTATAATCTAATTTACTTGTTTTCGAAATCCCCTTATTTACCCGTCATGCATCTTAATTCTAGCATGATTATTTTGGTGTATTTTTTGAATTAAAAGCAAGTCCCTTGGGATCGCTCATGTTTGCAACTACTACAATCTTTGTAAGCCGCATATGTGCATATATGCCTTTATTATTTGGTGGTTTCGACACTAATTATTAGATAGATACCTTATAAAACCATGAACGACACCTTATAGACTTTTTTCAAGCACTATATTATAAAATGACAATGTATGTGAATGATAACTTATATAATTTTGGGTGGGGATGACTTTTTTTAACACAAATGGAACAAGTGAAACCATAAGTTATAATACGTGAATCACAAATTCCATGGTTGGGATTCCATTTTCTTAAGGTCTGTTTGCGTTCAATAACACATGTTTTAGATTCCATCTTCTTATGGTTTGCATTTGATAAAGCATGTTCCAGATTCCATCATCTTATCAAATTGTCAATCACTCTATATATATAAACATTTATAATCACTAATTTATCAGTGTTTGACAATATTGTATAAACCGTAAATCAACTTTTATATAAATAATGACTTGGTCTTGTATTCTGAAATCCAACAAGTTGGCAACACAACCTGGTATTGTATTCTATATTCCAACCGTGGAAAAGTTGCCTCCAAAATTAGCAAGTGGCAAATAGTTCAGGGGTTATTTCAGTAACTTATCATTTACTATTCATACTTTGACTATGAATAGTAATATATATATATATATATATGTGAATTTGAATAATTGGACGGCACATTTTGGACGCCTACAATTTGACTATGAATAGTAATGTAATGTTTGAACGGCGAACTTTTTGGTCAAATGTTAGGCGCCTAACATTACCTAACATTGCCTACAATTAGACGCACAAAGTTGGACGGCATTTTTTCCTTTCATATGATATTCTTTTTGGCTATAAATAGCCTGAGCCAGAGAGATTTAAAATCATCATCCAAGTATATATAAAAAAACATTACATATATATACTGATACACCACCGTGTATTTTAGCTCTCCCACTCTATTTTGTAATCTCTTTCGTAATCCCTGTAAACACTGCAAATTATAGTGAATTGTTTCTCGGCTTCCTCCGCCCGTGGTTTTTTTCCCGATTTGGGTTTCCACGTAAATTCCTGTGTCTCTATTATATTTATTTTATTCGTATTACGTTGTGATTATTACGCTTTGATAATTTTTGATCACATTCCGCATTGAGCTAATATTATTTAAGTCAATTTGGATCCGTCGTATTATACAACACCAACATTGGAGAATAATCGATCAGGAATATAAATCCTCCTTGCATGTATCCTTACAAAGTCAAAAGAGGTTTTCTGTTTTCATCAAACACAGAGTGAAATGGCATGGGGACAGGGATCAAGTGCAAGGGTCAGGAGGCAAGGCTCTTCTGGTTATTTGTGGGATGATGAAATGTTGTCAGCTGAAGCAGAACCAAACCAATCATGGTCACCTTATGATGTTGATCAGGGAGAGTCACAAGATTGGTCCATTCAAAGGGACCCACCTTCCTCAAGGGACCTTACATGTGGGTTATATACATTGGTTTCACACTACTTTTTCTCCTATCAAACCCATGGGTAAAAAATACTTCGCCAGTTCGGTTATTTAACTTGTCTAGTCAGTCAGGCCTTTTTGTTTTAATTAAATCTTGTCTCTATGAAATGTTGTACGATTTTTTTTATGAAATGGATGGCCCATTGTGGGAAATTGAAAAAAAAATGTGTAAAAGTTGTAAAAAGTTAATTATACAACAAAATATTGTTCGAGTGTGAATCTGAATCTATGACAAGAAAATAACACATGATTCACGTTGGCTTTACATCTTAAATATTTCATTTCAGAAGAGATACATTTTAGAGTTTTGTAGCCAAGCTTCCAATTTCACCATAAAAATCAAACACATAATTGACATTGTCATGTAAGATGAAGATTTGTAGGTATTTCATTGCGAGGGCTTGTAACTTGGTATCAAAATGTGTATATGTAACACATCAAAAGTCTAAAACCTTGATTTTATTGCAAGTTTGTTCATTATTTAAAAAAAAATCTGGTTTTGCCCTTATTATTTTCATCTTATAATTTTTTTTATTCATTTTAAATTTTTTATAATTAAAAATAGAACAAAAAAGAAAATATAAACCTAAACTAATACCCCCAAGGCCATTGACATCCCTTCAATCCCCCCCCCTCTCTCTCTCACACACACACACACTCTCTCTCTCCCCCCTTCTACTGCTCACCGGAGACCACAAGTGCCACCGCCGTAAACCATCGGTGTCATCGCCGAAAACTGCCGCCACCAACTGCTAGGATCTTTCTTTCTTCGTTTGACGACAACTTCCAGATATAAAAGACGACAAGTGAGAAAACCCGTCGGAACCCTCGATTTCCAGAGACGAACAAGAAACTCTCAATTTTTCAGATGGAAAAAATGAAACCTTGCTCGATTTTCGATGTAGAAAGAAAGAAAACCTAGCTCTAACTTTGTCTTTATCGTTCGTTCGTTGTCTTTCCGACAAGGAGATGGAGAAACATTAATCTGAAGCGTTCCGCCTTTCCGTTGGCGTCATCGTCAGAGTCGTAGGCGACGTTAGAAAGATGTTGCAGATCCAGCGCTGGAGAGTACAGAGAGGTGAATAATAAGATGGTGGTGCTCTAAACACGAAGACGCCGTCTGTGGCTCGAGTTTTCGGACCAAGCCGTCATAGAGTTTCCAATCTCTGTGTCGTAAAATGAAGACGAGGGAAAATTGATGACACTGTGAAGGAGGCGACGTTTACAGATCTGGATGGCGACGACGAGATTGGCGATCAGATCAAGGGTTTACAGATCAAAGTTGGTTTGGGTTGTCCGGAGTCATCCGTTGTTCCGTTCTCTTTTACTTACTCTGATGAGAGGTGGTAGTCCGACGATGATGATGTCCGACAGGCGGTGGTAGTCCGACAACATTAGAGGGGGGAAGAGAGAGAGAGAGAGAGAGAGAGAGAGAGAGAGAGAGAGATGGTGTTTGTATGTTTGAAGAGGAATGTGGGTGGGGTAGGGTTATTAGGGATTAGGTTGTATTTTATGTTATTATTTGTTTAATTTTAAATCAGAATATTAACAAAATCATATATATATATATATATATATATATATATATATATATATATATATAAGGGGCAAAAAAATTCAAAATAAATTGTGTAACATCTTGATATTGAGATATTTTCAATTTAAACCCTAAGTATGAGAAGTAATTTTATTTTTGACTTGGATGAGAATTAATTGCAAAATTGGACCAAATGGCATTTTCGTAAATATTGGAGCCAGCTTATGTATGTTGGGCGTTCTCCCAGGTACGCTGGGCGTACGTGCCACGACTACATACCTTAATATTTAGGGTTTGGACCCTATTTAAGCATCCTTAAGTTCCCAACCTACCTTCTTTCACCAGCCTCTAACCCACTTGTAACGCCCCGACTCTCAGGTATTAATATTATGACTTTAATTTTCATGAAATGTAAGGTCTACTCGACGAGTTGGATACCCTAACTCGTCGAGAAGGAGCGGGTTTGGCCATGTGTTTAAGTGACCTACTCGCCGAGTCCATGATAGGACTCGACGAGTAGGAGCTGGAGAATGAAACCCTAATTTCTGGGGTTTTGCACCCTATTTAAAGGGTCATTAGCCTCCCTTACAGCCTCTTAAGAGTCCAGCAAACCCTAATCTGTGTGTGTGCTCCATTCTTGTGTGTTTTAAGCTTTGGAAGGTGGATCTTAGTGAGAGGAGCTTGAAGATCAAGTAGCTAGCAACAAGGAACGTGTGTGGATCTGAAGTCTACCTCAGTGTAGTATCATTTGAAGGTATCAAGTCGTTACCTTGACCTCATTTCCTTCTAGATCTCATTTGGTTAAAGATTAGGGCTTTTCTAGCATGTTAGGAAGCTATTCTTGGGTATGAGCTAAGATCCCAACTTCAGATCTGAACTCTCTTTGGTCTCTAAGTCCATAAAGTTTCCAGCTTTAGAAGGTGTAAACCTCACCTTAGGTGTAAAACTCCATTACAAGCTTGGATTTGACATTCTAAGCCTTTAGAGCCTTGCATGCATGTAAAGTTTGCAACTTTACATGATAAACATGCTTTGGGAAGCATGATCTGCAATATGGGACCTTAAAATGACTTAAAAAGCATATGAATGGATAAAGGACTGAAGGGACTCAGTGAGTTGCTTGGTCAACTCGGCGAGTCCGATGAAGATTGTCGTGCAAGGACTTCTGCATGGACTCGGCGAGTCAGTTTGGTGACTCGGCGAGTCAACTAGGGTTTTCCCGACTTTTGGACACGCGTGAACTCGTCGAGTTGCATGGAAACTCGATGAGTCAGTGGGGGGATTTCACGACTACTCGAGTTCTGAAAGGACTCGACGAGTTAGTGACTGCACTCAACGAGTCGGGTCAACATGGATTGTTGACCTTGACCGTTGACTTTGACTTTGACCAATGGTTGACTAATTGACTTCTGGGGCATTTTGGGAAATTGGAAATTTACGAATATGGTTCCATGGTAAATAAAGGTGGTGGAGTTTGTGGCGGTGATCCGAGAGTTTGAGCTTATCTTTCGAGTCGACAGTTGAGAGGTGAGTTATCCTCACTATACTCAAGGATCTAAGGCACCAATGCCGGCCCTTTGGATTGTTATATGGATATGTTATGCTAGTATGATCTGTTAGATCGGTATCCTGGTAGATAGGATGGTATTACGTGTTGTTTGGTATGATCCGTTAGATCAGTTGTTGTCTATAGACTGTTATGTGATTATCTGCTATATGCGCACATGTTTGTTTGGCGGTGAGGCTTACCTGCTGTAGCACCTTGTTCCTGGTATGTATTTCATTTATGTAATTTTACATTTTTTGGCCTGGGACTCGGCGAGTTGATGACCCAACTCGCCGAGTAGAAGCGGGATAGAACGCGAGGTTTAAGTATGGGACTCGTCGAGTCGGATCCTGGACTCGATGAGTAGGCTCTGTCTGGACAAAAACCCTAATCTGAGGGTTTGCACCCTATTTAATCATCTCATTCAGCCCCCACTCGTCCCTATTGCTCCCAGAAACCCTCCCTAGCAAACCCTAAGTGTTTTGGTGCAAGATTCAAGGCTTTTGAGTGATTTTGGTGGATTTTGATCACAAGGAAGAAGGAAGAGCATAGAAGGATCAAGAGGAGACTGAAGGGTTCGAGTTTGGTGCATCATTTGTTGTTCTCAGAAGGTATAAAGTCTATACCTTGCTTGTTCTTTTGTTAGATCCCTTTTTGGGGAGATTTGGGGCTTTTATAAGTCATTCTTGGTAGCCAACCATGATTGCAAGCATGGTTGGGGGTTGAGGCTTCGGATCTAGGTCCATGGAAGGGTCACAAGGCAGTTAGGGGTTGCTTTTGCACCCATGGAAGGCCCCATGCATCTTAAGAGCTTCTTTTTGGGCATTTTAGGCTCAAAGTCCCATGCATGCACGTAAAGTTTGTAACTTTACGTGCTAGATTGAGTTTAGGGACCTAGATCTATCATTTTGACAAGAGTTGCACTCCAAAAATCGAAGAAATAAGACTTGGACTGCATCGACTCGGCAAGTCGTTCATAGGACTCGACGCGTGCACGAGCAGACTCAGCGAGTCCAAGGCAATCTTCCAACTCTTGAAGATGAACTCGACGAGTTGTTCATACAACTCGGCGAATCGAGGACAGGACGTGTTCTTAGGATGAAGATGGACTCGACGAGTGTTCATACCGCTCGGCGAGTCGGAAGAAGGTTCATCCGAGGTTGTGTTAGAAGGAGAACTCGTCGAGTCGTTGCTAAACTCGACGAGTAGGGACGTGGATGAGAACAGTTAAAGAAATAGGGACTCGACGAGTTGACGAACCAACTCGGCGAGTCGGGTCAACTGGAAGTTGACTTTGACTTTGACTTGGACTTGGTCTGTGGTAAAATAGTCATTTTACCCTAAGTGTTTTGTGGGGATTATAGCCGGAGGATTTCCGGAGTAGCAGCAGTCAGAGATTCCCCGCACAAATTATCAGTAGCTACTCGTTTGAGGTGAGTTACCTTTCAGTAGCGGTGGGTCTACGACCACAATGCCGGCCCACCAGTAGGAGTTGTATGTTAGATGATTGTCTTTGTGACATTCATCTAGGGTTGCTGCTACCTGATATGTTTATATGCTAGCATGATATGTTATGTGTTATATGTGATAGTGTTAGTAGGGGGAGAATAGTCCCCAAGTTCGGTCGTTAGGACCGAAGGGTAGGTCGGGCACCCCAGTATTGCCTGACAGTATGTTCATGCTATGATATTATGTGGTAGTAGTAGGAGGTGAAATAGTCCTCGGATGTCGGTCGTAAGGACCGATGGGTAAGTCAAGCACCCCAGAATGGCTTGACCTGGGTAGTCAGGCACCCCAGAATTGCCTGGCAGTATATGTGTGTTATGTGGTAGTGGTAGGGGTGAAATAGTCCCCGGTAGTCGGGTGAAATAGACCGACGGGTAAGTCAAGCACCCCAGAATGGCTTGACCTGGGTAAGTCAAGCACCCCAGAATAGCTTGACCTGGGTAGTCAGGCACCCCAGAACTGCCTGACAGTATGTATTGTATATGTGTGGTACGATGGGAGAACTCACTAAGCTTCGTGCTTACAGTTTACAGTTTTGGTTTCAGGTACCTCTTCAGCGAAGGGGAAAGAGCTGGCGCGGTAGCGGCACATCATACACACACGCATTGATTTCCGCACTTGAGATATTCTGGGATTGTACTCTGACATGTTGCTATTATATGTTTTGGGTTTTTAGACATGATACATTGATTCACAAAATGATATATTGTTACGTAGTTTTCTTATGAATGTTTTATAACTCGTTAATTAAAATGAAATTTTTGGACTCGAAATTTGGGATGTTACAAGTTGGTATCAGAGCCCTGGTTTGAGGGATTCGGACACACCTTCGGGGTGTCTGAACTCAAATCAAGGGATTTAAAAGATTTATACAAGAAAAATGGTTTTCTAAAAGCTAAGTTAAAAGAGTTTTGAGAAAGAGCGAAGTGTGTGATGTGCGCGACCGGCCGAGCTCAAGTAAGTATTCCCCAAAGTACCCATACAAGTCTATATTATGTTTATTAGTTTCAGTAGAACAGCATGTTAGAATAGGACTAAGGATCTAGGAATGATGCCTTATATGCCTGCTTTATGTGCTTCATCTTATGAGAATTGCATGCTAGTATTGGGTAGACCGTAATAGGATAGCCTGTTTAGGTTATGCCTGGTAGTATGAGCTCAGCATTGTATGCTAGTAAAGTTTCCTGTTCTGAGGATAGGATTGCTTGAGATCGATCCCTTTGGTCTGAATGCTACTTGCTTTGTGCTTTGTGGGACTTTGAGTGATGGGAGTTAGCTTTTAGGTGAATACGTTAAGTCACATGTGATAAGGGTTGGATAATCTTAGAGGATTGGATTTGACCCTATTGCACAGCTCTTGTTTGAGTCTAACCGTTGTAGGGACGAGTCTTTTACTCGAAGGATTATCTGAGCCTCGTTACATGTGATGGTATTCAGGTAATGGCTAATTGGCATTACAAGGAGGCCTTCAGCAGCTGAGGACCGGTTTGGATGGTGTCAGAGATTTTCCCCAGGATAAGCCTAGGATGAGAGTAGTAGAGATCAGTAACAGTAGTAGTGACTTGGTGGAGTCGAGGCGGTTCTTGAGGAAAGTACGGATAGATGTGGAAGGTAGTATGGGCCCGTACTACTGAAAGCAGAGGATCCGTACTTGAATCGAGAAAGGCTGAGGAAAGACCAAGGAGCTCGTGGTGGATGTGATCCCTCTAGATGTATAAGTATCACTGATGGTTGTCATTATGTATTGCAGAATGGTGGTAC